TATTGTGATATGGCCTAAATGGTTAAAGGTGTAGTAAGAAGATGTTATTTCTATCAACTAGATTATTAAGGGTTCTACCTAAGTTTGAGATTTTAGATTGAAATGAGTTTTTGTTCCATTGGAGGGTTTGGCTTAAACTCACATTCCCAAGATTGAGATTGAAGGTTGACCATTGATCACTCGGTGTGGGATGTAAGAAGCTCGATTGAGATAATCTCCAACACTCTCTTTATTGTTTTTTATTATATTTATTTTTGGTGTCTTTTATTATTCTCAAACATAGTTTGTATCAGGGTTTGAAAACTCGTCGAGTCGAGCCGGACTCGCCCGGTTCGACTCGAGAATCATCTGCAACCGAGCCGGTTCCATGAAAAAATCGGGAATCACCTGTGTCCAGAGAGAACAAGGCAATTCTCAATAGTGAATCACGAGTCTTACACATGGCCGCCTCACGGGAGCAACACGTGGCACCTAAAAATCCTCCACACTTGGTAACTCACCTCACATGTCTGCCCCATCGCTTTTCTACACGCGCCATGCAACATCTATTACGCAGGAATTTAAAGAGAACAAAGCAACGCTCATCATTCGATGCGGGATAATTCCCACAAAAAATCATTAAAGCAAGACGAATGAATATATATTATTGTAGAAGCTAATAAAATCACATTAGGCGATGTGGCGGTGTTGGTTGACATCTCCGATTTTTTTGTGGACGTTTAGAGTTCGAACCCTTAGTGCGCGTCCTCGTTTATATTTTTGTTGTCAAAAAAATAAATAATGGCAGAAAATATTGTTGTAAAAAAATAGAAAAAATAAATAATAAAAGGCTTTTCAAGATAAAGATAAAAAGATAATACAACATTTTTTTATTTTTCTTGTAAAAAAATACAAAGTAATATAACAAGTATTTCTTGCAAAAAAATAAAAAAAAAGGCATAAAAAAATAAAATATACTTTGGCAGCATCATTTTTTTATTTTTCTTGTAAAAAAAAAAAAAAGGAATACAACAAGCAAAAAAAAATGTAGTACAACATCTTCTTCTTTTGTCCAAAAAAAAAAAAAAGGATAATCAACAAGTATCATATTTTTCTTGTAAAAAAAAATAAAACATAACACAATAAGTATTTCTTGTCAAAAAAATAAAAGGTATTTCTTACTACAATCTATGAATAAATGGTCTAACTATATTTTTATTTTTATAATATGATGGTCTTTAACATAAATTTAGTAATATTAATTTAAAGATATGATTCATACAATGAGGCCATTTGAAGTCTCTCTCTTTCTACTAACAATCTCTTCCACTAATTTATTCTAGAAACCTAAAAAATTTAAAAAAATTGGTACGCATT